AAGTTTTATTCGCGAGAGAGACATACCCCCCCCCCCCCCCCCCCCCACTTTTCATTCAGTGACAGACCTTTTCCAGGTAAACACTGGCTTAGGTGGCGAGGTGTTTTGTTTCATGGGTGTATGCCTCATGGACAGTTGCTGCAAATTGCCATTTTCTGTGTTTGACTCTGCTACTTCTGAGTTGAATTGAATACCTTTAATACCTAAACCTCATTTATTTAGATTAATATGAAAAAGCAGGCATGCGTAAAAAATGTTTTTTTCACCTATTCAAAGAAAAGAAATATGGTTTTACTGAATCTTTTTCCCTTAAATCATTTCCCACTATCTTTTTAGATAAGGAAATGCAGGAACATTTTCTTGTATAAAGTCTGTCCTGCCTCTTCCTCCGTATGCATTTGATTTTTCTGTTCTGACAGAGCAAACAGCTGTGATTGCGAATAGAAATCTGTTCCATGGTATGAGAAAATACAGTTGGTGTCATTGTTGGAAGCAGAGTGGTCATTAGCTTTAGTCTTATTTCTTTAGTCCTTAGCCCTGAGGGGCAGTTATAGACTTGTTGATTGGAATGGGTTATTGAATACTTGGGGAGAGAATCCCTACAATATATATATATTTTTTTCTGTCTTCTCTCCTGCTCTTTACCTGTATTTTTTTCTTGCTTTCTATTTTCCTTTTTGCAAAAGTAATACGTGTTTATTGAAGGATTTTTAGAAATTAGAGAAAGGAAGGACAGTTTGCCCCTGATTTCTGAGTAACCTTGAATTACTCTTAGTATGATAGGAAACTGACATCTGTTGAATGCTTACACTTGTGGCAGGCACATTTTACCATTGGACTGGGGTTGAGAATTACACTCTGAACTCCATACTTGAACAGTCTCCTCTTTTTAAAGTGAAAATAGGGGAAGATGGGATTTGAGAAATTTACTGTGTGTATGGAAACCTGAAATAAGGATCACATTGTTACGTAACAGAAGGTTCTGTGGGGAATCGATTCTAATAAAACTTTTAAAAATAATAGTTGTAGGTAGTGCTTTAGAATTATTGGAAACCATTACAAAGTAGTTTGAATTTTTTTTTTTTAAGTTTATTTTGAGAGAGAGGGTGAGTAGGGGAGGGGCAGAGAGGAGAGAAAGAGAGAGAGAATCCCAAGCAGCCTCTGCTGTCAGTGTGCAGCCCTATGCAGGGCTCAAACCCATGAACCATGAGTGAGATCGTGACCTAAGCTGAAATCAAGAGTTGGGTGCTTAACTGACTGAGGCACCCATGCAGCCCTAGTTTTTTTTTTTTTTTTTTTTTTAGTTTAAATATTCTTTCATATTTTATTGTATATATTTCTATTCTTCTCTGTTCCAAAATGAATTTGAAACAGCATTTACTTAGCGAGCAGATTCTCTATGGGCAGTTTAAAGATAAATTAGTAGGGCGCCTGGGTGGCTCAGTTGGTTGAGCGTCCGACTTCAGCTCAGGTCATGATTTTGCGTCTGTGAGTTCGAGCCCCGCGTCGGGCTCTGTGCTGACAGCTCAGAGCCTGGAGCCTGTTTCAGATTCTGTGTCTCCCTCTCTCTCTGCCTGTCCCTCCGCTCGTGTTCTGTCTATCAAAAATAAATAAACATAAAAAAAAAAATTTAAAGATAACTTAGTACTACTGTCTTCTAATAATCATAAGAGCTGAATTTGTAAATTTTTACTGTGTACAGTTTTGGAGTGAAACACCATTTCTGTTACTATGAAATGTTGGGTTTTCATTAAGTGTGTTAAAATTGGTTTGTTTTTGTTATTTTCTCAGAGATCTTGTTTAAAAATATCCGTTCTTTATCTTCTATAGACATGATTTTCCGTTAAGTTTTTGTATTTGATTTTATTATATATTTTGGTCTTTGATGTACTGGAATGATCGAAAGCTTTCTTTAAGGCACAAAACGATAGTTGTCAGTTTTGAGCCAGGATGCAAAGGGCTGGAAAAAGTTGCTGTGGTATGCTTGTGGAGTCCTTGGGTCTCGAGTTGGGCCACACTCTGTGTGTATGTTTTATCATTTAATTCTGATAACAAACATGTCAGGTGGGTATTATCCTCATTTTACAGATGAGAAATGGGCTCAGAGATGTTAAGCAAGTTCAGACAGCTACTTAAATGGTAAAGGTATGATATGTACCCAGGCCTGTCCAACTTTATCTCTCCTCATTCTGTCATCTTAAACTCTCTTTAGTAAAGTAAAAGCTGGTGTGTGAGCCATTATTATTTGATCTGTGCCCCCATCTCATTCTTTGGCAATGTCAGGGGCATCTCTTCAGATGAGAAAAAAGGCATGTATCAGAAGCAATAAATGCCTGGTTCCCCTTCATAATTCTGTGAAGTCTGAAGTGTATGGAGGAATTGGTAGAGTGGAAGGAGCACACCCAAGCGAAGGTACCATTCGGCTTGGGGCATGATCCTGTCTTGCCTTTACTAGTGTGATGTGTTTTTGAAAAATTGCTTAATCTTTCTGAGCCTTAGTTTCATTATCTTTAATAAGAGAGTAATACCAGCTACTTTGTAATGTGTTAATGGTGTTTGGAGATAATGTAGATAAAATTTTTAAATTGAGTTCTTGGCATAGAGTAGATGTCCAAGAAATGGTAGCTACTGTTAATAATAGGGTGAAGGCAAAGATGTTTATTGGTGATATATGGAAGCTTGACTTTCAAATCAGTCTGCGTCAACTTACTGGCTTCTTAAATTCATTTTGTTTAGATATTGTTCCCCCCTTCCAAAACGAAAAACAAAAACAGTCAACCACAACACCTTGCCTTTACCCAAAGAAAGAGGAAAAATTAGTTTTTTAAAGTTCTCTCTTGATAGCAAGTAATTCTGGTACCCAAGCTTACTGAAATTATTACTGTACACAGGCCCAGGATGTTTTGGTACAGGAGATGGAAGTGGTGAAACAAGGTATGAGCCACGGAGAACTCTCAAGTGAAGCTTATAACCAGGTGTGGGAAGAATGCTACAGTCAAGTTTTGTATCTTCCTGGGCAGAGCCGCTACACACGGGCCAACTTAGCTAGCAAAAAGGACAGAATCGAGTCACTTGAAAAGAGGCTTGAGGTTGGTATCCTTTTAAAATTCTAATTTAAATGTACCTTGATTGAGACAATGGACCAAGTAATAACCACTGGAGACAATTACAGAAAAATAGACCTGAGGCAGTTACTGGTTTTGCAATTCTTGCCTTTTTTTTTTTTTTTTTTTAAAGTCTATTTCTTTTGTTTAGGGATGTCTACACTCAGTATGGGGCTCAAACTCACGACCCCATGATCAACAGTTGCATGCTCTTCTGACTGAGCCAGCCGAGTGCCCCTTGCTTTTGCAGCTCTGGAGGGAAAACTGTACTAAAGTGTTTGGTCTTGTTTGGCTTTCATAAATTTTTCAGAATTGCTGGCCTTTATGATAAAGAATGGTGCCCTCCAGGTTGATCACAGGTCAAACAGGACCTTTTAAATGTGGGAGCAAGGAAGACAAGAAGTTAACACTGGTCACCCAGAACAATGTCCCTCAATGCTAGAATAGCTTGTTTTCTGTAAAGAAGGATCTCAGTGGTACCAAGGAGCTTTTTTTTCTGGAGCCAAGAGAGCACATTCATGTAACTTTGGTTCCTTTCTGTTCATTCTCTGATTCCTTTGGGTTTGTTAGAGAGAGAGCACCGAGCTGGATTATCTTAGATAATGGCTTCTGTGATTTTTTTCACATCTGAGGAAATGTTGAAATGTACTAGATGGGAGTTTCATGGCACATGGTTTCTTAATATAGTCTGCAGGTTTTGAATTCCAGAAGCTGTGTAGGCATTTGGCCAATGGCATGTAAATTGTGGTTCATGGACCACTGGGCTGTCTTGTGGATTTTTCAAGGTGGTCTTCAGGGATGTTTCTGAGGCTAGGGTAGGGTGGGGAGAAAAGGGTGCTTCAGGCAGTCACATGCAGAAATGGCCTCAATTTCCTCCTTTGTGATTACTAATTTCTCTTTACAGAAAGCAAATTGGAAAATATTTTTATTTAGAGTTAAAAATAGCAGTACCACTTGGAGTGGTTGGTATCATGTGGGGCTAGGGAAATGAACAGGAAAAAGAGTTCTTGTAATATGAAATTATTCTAAGTCTTAATTTTACCTTTAAGACTACACGTATAGGCATCTGGTGGTTAATGCCTTTGAGCCTCTTTTATCACTTAGTGGGAAATTAGTTTCTCTTTGAAGTAATTCTCATCGTGGGTGAAATCTTTGCAGTCCAGTTGCTGCTTGTTACTCCGTTGTACTGCTAACTTCCAGCAGGGTGTGCTGTTGTTCTGTGTTTTAATTTGGGATTTAAAGTCAGGGAAAGTAGAACATCAGTGGGCACATTTTGAGTTACATTTTCTGTTGTGTTGGCTTCGTTTATTTATAAGTGGTAGTTAGCAGTGTAATCCTGATCTAAGGTCAGCATTGTAATTGATTAGAAAGCTATTTGGAAAGCTTTCTTGTAACCTTTATATATAAATACTTCGGTCTCTCACTTAGTTTGAAAATCTTCTCATTTGAGGTGGGTAAACGTTTTCTGCCCCACGTGGTAAGGACATTTTGTGCTCTTTAAAATATAAAAAAAGTTTTTCCCTAAATCTCATTTACTTTGCTGAGGCACTAACTTTCGTGACAGCAAATAAATGTGTCACGAAGTGAGTGGTGCCATAAAGTACAGTAATTTTTATTTTTATGTTGAATTGGTCTTGTGAGTTTTGAAGGGAAAAATACAGAAAGAACCACTGCCGTTCTTTTGGAGATTTATTTGGGTCGTTTATGAGCAACCATTAAAAACATGTGGCTCTCTTTGTTCAGTTCAGTACCAGGAACTGAAATCTTCCGTTGAACTATTTTTGTTGAAGGATTGGTGATTTTGGAAGAATATTCATAAAACAGTCTGAAGTAATTTTTCTTTTCTTGACTTCTGGATAACTTACTTTATTGTTTACCCAGCTAGTTACTTTTAAAGAATATGTAATCAAATCCTTTAATTTAGTAAACTACACTTATTTCAAATGAAAGTTCATTAAATCTTTAAAAAGAAGAAAAGAGACTCAAAAACCCAAATAAACAACTCCCCCATTTTATTTGTATCCATCCCTAATTCAGAACTAGGCTTGTGTTAGCTTATTTTAGTTTTTGAAGACACAATTCTCCTGGTTTGAAATACATAAATATTTTATTTCAATTGTGGTAATTCTTTCATCATTTCAGTTGATTGCTAAATTATAAACACTATTCAAAGTTTGTTGTGGGGAAGGAACTCCAGTTGTATTATATAAACTAAATGCTATACTTAAATTATTCTTTCCACTCTTAGGTTCAGGGAGATATGCCTTTCTGTGCAAGCACAATACACCATGGCTGCCAGTGTGTTTGATTTTTGCTGTCATGAACTTTGGAACAGCGAATCTAAATTATGGCCCTATCACAGTGTATCAAGCAAGATGAAATCCAGCTTTGTCGTGGTTGGTGTCTCCTAAATGGATTAAAAAATATGCCCTGAGGTTTATATTGGAGCTGGGTCTTTGAGCCATTACTCATGATTAGTATTTGAAATGCAGAATTTAAATGAAAATCCTTAGGATACTCACTTAAAACTAATGGAACCATCTCAGATTTTATGTAGAATGTGGTGGGTGGTGTAAGGAGTCTGTTAAATAAATGGAATCAGAAAGTAGTCACAGGTCAGAAAGACTTCTGAGTTGTAACCAAGTTCATGTGTTTTATTCTGCTTTGGAGGCAGAATTAATTTTGGAACTGTGCCATACATTTGTGTGTCAAACAAGGCAGCAGCAGCAGCAAACAAATGATAACTAATATCAGAAAAGGAAAAGTTAGAAAGCATAGCATGTTGAGGCCATTTAGATACAGTATTTTATTAGCTTCTGAGGGCATTATGGGTGTGTGGTGGGAGAGCAGAGTGATTGCTATCTGTAGTGATGCCCCAGATATTTAAAAAAAATGGTTAATTTCTGCTCACTGTTATATATATATTTTTAAAGAAGGATGCCTAAAATAGTAGGAAAATTTTGTATCAAATGGTAAAAAATAAAAGGACTTTATAGTCCTTGATGTGATCGTATGTTCAGTGACTATTACTGAGCATCTAATATGTGCCAGCTGTTGTTCTAGCACCTGGGAGCGTAGCAGGAACAAAGCGGACAAGCTCTATGCTCTTGTGGACATCAGTTATCTGGAAAATGCTTCATGTGGAGGAGAACCTCATTTTCTGATGATGCCAGATAAATGAGTCATTACTGTATTTGGGAAGTGCAAATAGAATTTGAAGTGTTCTAATTTGTTTCCACTTTAAGTGGAAATAGGAAATCGTCTGAAGACATAATTATTTTGAGTGAAATAATTTCCAGGAGGTGCAAAAGTGAAAAGAGAAGTCTGAATTTAGGTCTGCTATTAAATTTAATAGTATTTGAAATAGTATCTAAACTGCTGCGTTGAGGAAGTTTGGCTGAAAAGTAGATTTTGTCATGTTAGCTATAAAAATGGAAAGGCTTTCCTTAGAGGTGGAAACTAGGTCCAGAAGTAATACTTCTCTCTGTATTTTACTGGCACAGTCAACTTAGTCAAGAAATATTATGTAACATCGACTTCTTGGAAATAAAGTAACTTGAAAAACACAGATAACACATCTTTCTCAGTGTACTTGTAGAACTCTTAGGAGCACCCCTGACTTTACTGAATGGTTATATTTCAGCAAAATTGGCTGTACAATGGATCATATTTTCTCAGTGATTTTATTTATAAAGTCAGATATTTTTACATAGGAAAAAATTCCCTTAATACTTTAAAGAGTGAAAATTTAGGGTAAGGATCAAGTTGTTGGGCAAATCTGGATGGAGGACTGTATGTTGAAGTAACTCGGCAGGTTTATGTTCTCTTGTGCGTGTGGGGGAGGGGTGACATGGGGTACAGGAGAGAAGTTTCTGGTACTCTGGAATGCTCCCTTTCTCAAATTCTGCTCTGTGCTTTGACCGTTAAGGGCACTGGCAGATTTCTTGCTTTTTCTATCAAGAAGAGCTGGACCAGAGATCTCCTTGGTACAGTCGTGTTGCTTCTGTTATGCCTCAACGTTGAGTTGAATTTCTTTCATGCAGTTTATGTGTTTCATTTCCTAGCTCATGCAGATGTCAGGTGCTCTTGGTATTGCTTTGTTGGTACATTACTGTTCTCGGAAAGGTTTTTGGTAAGGTTTTTTGCCTTACTGTTTAGCTTGCTTTGTCGGGATGCAGTCTGGTGGATGCTAACTCTGGTAGATGCAAGCAATAATCACATGCTTGGACCTGCATCTCGTCAGTGTGGAGAAGGTTCACTGATACGATTTAATGCTAGCGAGTAGTATAGAGATGAAAGGAAAGGCACTGATGGGCTCTTGTTGTTTGCAAACATTTCGGTGGTTGAACCACATCGTTACTACCATAGGATCATATTGCTAAACGATGGACTAGGAAGTGGAGCTGCCATCAACTATGTATTTATTTTGGGTATCCTTAAACCTGTTTTTCCAGTGGTGTAAAGTTATATTGTGGGCCTCCAAGCAAGAGTTTCACTGAGGGATGCTCTTAATGTTTCTGAACCTCACTGTAACAGACTTTAACTGAAGACAGTATTGGAGACCCAAGGATAATGTGTTTATTTTGGAATTACTTAAGCTTAGTAACCTTAACAAACTTAGTGAGTTTGAAAGTAACAATTACACTTTTATAAGTCCCATACAGCCCCCTTTTGTAATGACCCGAGGAAACACTTATGGTTCCACTGATTCATCTCCTGGGGACCATCAGTTTTCCATTGGTCTCTGGCCAGCCTTTTTTAGACAGTTTCTCTTCTATGCATTTAAAAAATAACATTTGTGGGCGTTTTTCTAAAAATAATACCTGTACTTTGTAGAAAATTTAAAAAGAAATTAAAAAACAATTTGAAAAGAAGCCTACCATCCAAACATAATCGCCTTATACATTTTGAGGGATATGTATGTGTGTGTATATCTATTAATATATGTGTGTGTGTATAATTAAATATAGAAAAAAATTACTGTA